CAGCCCACCACCCACCCACTCTCCCCGGTGTCTCCCTTACCTTATCCCGCCCAAAGCGCCGCAGGAAGCGGTAGGGCCAGCTGTAGATGATCTCCAAGGCTTGGAAATCCAGCAGCTCCAGCGCCTCCTCACCGGCTCGCAGGATGCCCCGGCCCCAGAGGCGGCATCGCTCAGAGGACTCGGTGGCCCTCACCGTCACCTCGAACGTCTGCTCCACGCCAGCTGGGGATACAGGAGGGTAATGTTTAACCCATGCAAGGAGCAGAACTGCATCTGTCACCGCAGGGATGTGCCATGCGGCTCGTGACCTGCCCGCAGACAGGGCAAGGGGGAAGTGGCGTCCGGCCGATAAGGGCTTGAGGGCTCTGGCCACACAGGAGCGGCCTGATAGCACAGCGAAACCCAGCCCTGCCAAACCGCAGAGCAGGAAGAGCTCCAAGAGCCTATTTCAGGAGGAGACTTTCCACCACGCTGCCTGCACAGAGCCGTGGCAGGGGTTGCTCCCCCGTGCAAAACCAGGCAAGGTGCATGGGGATGGAGGGGGTGATGAGTTGCATGCTGCCTCCTGTACAAGCAAACCCAGCTCCACTCATCCTTGCCCCTCTCCCAGTGCCTACCTTTGTGCCGGGAGCTGTAGAGGGAGTTTTCCTCCATGGAGAACCCGCCGTCGGTGCCCAGCGAGCTCTGTTGGCCATCCTTGCTTGCTGCCTGCTCCTCCCTGCTCCTCTGCCCGGGAAAGAGCAGCGGGTGAGCGAGGGCAATGCACAGCATCCCCCCCACAGCAGACCCCCAGAATTCCACCGCACAGATCCCAGTTACCCCAGTCCAGTGCGTACCGGGAAGGCCAGCTCACAGAGCTTCTGGATCCAGCTGGCCGCCTCGGTGCCGTCAGCAGCCAGGAGGTACCGCTTGTCGGTGGTCTCCAGCAGGAAGGGGACGGTCTCCTTGGGACAGCCGGCATCGCCGCTCACCTCCGCCACGTGCACGCAGTCGCTGCCCAGCCGCTGGCTGCCCTCGCCTTTCCGCAGCTTCTCGGCGGCCGGCGGCACCGAGCCCTCGAAGAGCTCCAGGCGGGCGGTGGAGCAGGAGCTTTCGCGGTACAAGACGCCCCAGAACTTCCTCCATTTCTGCCGTGGGGAGAAGCGGTGAGAGGAGTGAAAACCCAGCAGCAGCCAGCTCTGCTTTCACCCTTCCAGGAGTTTTCATTCCCTTGGGATCACGCATGAGCCCGGGGTAGTACATTGGTGCAAACCCCTCCAGGGTCTGGGCAGGGTCTTGCACCCTCACCCAGGTGTTTTGGCCAAAGCTGGGGGATGATGTTAACTGGTCAGTGTGGGGAAAAGCACCCCCGACACGCAGCCTTCGGCAAGGCTTTCCTAGCCAGGAAAGACACCGGCAGCATCACCGT